GTGATGGTGACAGAGCCCTGGGACAGGCTGCCCAGGGAGGTGGTGGAGTCTCCTTCTCTGGAGACATCCCAACCCCTCTGGATGTGTTCCTGTGGGATCTGCTGTAGGTGACCCTGCTCTGGCAGGGGGGGTTGGACTAGATGATCTCCAGAGGTCCCTTTCAACCCCTCCATGCTGGGATTCTGGGAAGGGCAGGTAAAACTTAGGTAAGAGCATCTAAATGCCAGCCTAGCTTGCTTGCTTGCTTCCCTCCCTCCTTCCTTCCCTCCTTCCTTCCTTCCTTCCTTCCTTCCTTCCTTCCTTCCTTCCTTCCTTCCTTCCTTCCCTCCCTCCTTCCTTCCTTCCCTCCTTCCTTCCTTCCCTCCTTCCTTCCTTCCCTCCTTCCTTCCTTCCCTCCTTCCTTCCTTCCCTCCTTCCTTCCCTCCTTCCTTCCTGAAAACATAGTAAAACAAAACATCTTCCTCTCTCCTTAGCTCTCCAAAATCATGTTGGTTCTGTTCTGCTTTTGTTTCCAGCTGTGCTGCCGGTTGAGGAGCTGGGAAGGAGCCTTCAAACTTTTCACCCTGGGCTTTTCAGCTGGATTTCAAGGCTCTTAGTTCCCCAGGTGTGCAGGTAGGTCACCTTTGCATTGCATTGCCAGGAGGTTTTGTTCTCCTCTGCCAAAGAAGCAGTTGATTTTGAAACCTCTGTGGTTTTCCTGGTGCCTTGGGTGTCACCTCAATTCAAATAGCTGAGTTGGGTAGAACTGTAATTGAAACTGGAAGGGTTGGGGAGCTCAGCACCCGGCAGAGGCACCAGACCCCAGGGTATCACCATCTCAATCCTGGTCTCTGTTCTGCAAGGAGTTTTTTGGACACTTCATCAGGAGCTTCTGCTCATACTCAGTTTTCATGCTGTCTTGGAAGAGAAAATTGCAGGATTTATCTTGTTTCCCAACCCTCCATCCTCAGCTCTGAGCTGGTTCCCTCTGCCTCTGGTGTGACAGATCAGCCTGAGTTTTGCTTCTCAACTTGACTTGGTTTTTATTGATCCCACCAGCCTGGAGAAGACTGATTTCCATGGAAGGCTTGGTTGGTTTTTTTTTGCAAGAAACCTGCTTGCACTTACAAAACCCAGACCTGTTCCCCCAGTGAGTGGTTGGCACTTCCAGAAAGGAAAAAAAACTTCCCAGTTAATGAAAAGAGATTGGAAGGAGCTGCAAGTGGAAAGACAATCTTAGCATCAGTGATGCATGGATGAGAAAGAGCCAAATAACTGAGCTCTTTTCATACTCTGTGCTACTTGGGGGGGGGTGGAATTTACTGCTGGGGTTGGAGAGGGATTGATTTCTGGTGGGACATCCATCAGGTATCAGCAGATCTTACCTGATGCAGGTTGTATCTCATGGTGACAGTGTCCATGAAACAGCTGAGTTGCTCAAAATTGCTTCCATACCCAGAGCTTTGTCAACCTGAACATACTGATTAGGGGAATCAATTGGGTTTTTCACATGCTGAAACTTGGCAGGGATTTGCTGGATCCTTGGTACCTCCCAGCAAAGTGTCTCTGCTGTTTTGGGGCAGCTGAGAGCAGAGGGTGAGGAGCAATAAATGAGGAAGAAATTGCCAGGTTTGATGCCAGGGGAGGGACAGGACATTGTT